TTATCATCGATAATTATCTGCATTATTCTCTTTTTAATTTTTATTTACTATTTGATGATAAAATATTTTATAATAAAAAAAATAATACTTAAAAAAAAATTGTTGTGATATTATAAAATAAAATAAAAATAACATTTCGAAGAAAATAATTCTTGATACTCTGCCTAAATATTGGAGAGTCACTAATATTTATCTTCTATAAAGATTATTATTTCATTTTAAGGATTATCGTGTTAAATCTTAAGCGAAAAAAGTTATTTTAAATTATGCTTAGATGTTGGAGAATTTTAAAATAATTCTTTAACTTCAAATTTTTCTTGATATTCCTAAATAAAAAGCTTTAGTAAAATTTTATTTTTTCAAATGAAAGAAATTACTATTAAATTTCAAGTCAAAACCATTTTTATCCAATACCGAAAATAACGCATAATTAAATGGTACTAATTTATGGACGTTGCGGGGTGCTAACCCTTCCCTACATGTAATCGACTCCCGAACCCAACTTGATTTTCGTAAACCAAAATTCATCTTTTTGATAAACTTTAAATCCGTTTTTATAATTTTATTAAAAAAATAAATTTTTGGGTGACCAATCACACTTTAACAAAGATTGATGGCGACTCTCTCACTTTCTTCAATTTTAAAACGTCTTATGTCTGACGGTTCTAAAACTGTTACGACATGCATCATAAATTTTAAATACATATCTCCACCAAAATTGATTGGATTTATCTTTTATTATTTTGAATTTAAAAGACAAGTTTTATTTTTTAATTTCCTTATCATTAGATTATTTTAAAAATCCAATCCCAGTCACAATTGTCCATTATTTTATCGTTATTGTTTCCAACTCTACATCTGAAATAGCAATGAAAGGCGTCAATAAAATTTTTTTATTGTTTCACTCACAATCATAGTCACCCATCAATTTTTTTGAGAAAAATAATAATTTGTAACTATATTGTTTATATGTTTGTGAAATAATCAGTTGATTTATGTTTTGTTGGATGATTCGCAGGAAGAAGTAGAGATTCAATTGTCTAAGATAAGACTGAAGGACTAAGGACTTCTTTTCTATATTCAGTTAATTTTATATCAATGTCGTTTTTTCTACAAATTGAGTAGTAATTTGATAATTAATAGTAGCCAAATAACAAAGTATTATATTATATATAATATAAATGACCCATTAATTATTCCTTCATATAAAAATTTGTAATTTTCTAAACTTCCTCCTCATCAAAGTCATAACACTAATTTTACTTATAAAAAAATTGAGATAAATTGAAATTCATTTTAATTTCTTTTTTTTTATTTTTTTGGATTTGTTTCCAATATTATTTATTGTATATTTTAAATTTTATCAATTTTTTAAATAAAAATTATTTTTATTATGATTTGATATCTTAATTATATTTATTTATATTTTATATATATTTTCAACATATAAATAATTAAATAATATTAATTTATATTTATACTAATATTTAAATAAAATAAAAATAATTTATGCATTGCATGGGTTGCAAACTAGTTCTATCAAATTTCAAGCTCCTTGCTCTCCCTTTTTTTTTTTTTGGGGGGGGGGGGGGGTGGGGATATTATGGAATAAGTACTCATTAATTGTCAAGTTATTTTTAATATATAATTTTGAGTGCCAAAAGAAATATACAACCCTTAATATATACTCTATTACTCTTACACATCAAATTGCTTATAGAAAAATGGATTTTATTATGAATAAAATTATGGGATTTTTTTAGAAAGGATATAGTTTTATATATATATATATATTGTTGTAATTAGCATTAGTACAGATAAAGAGGTTTAGGGCTATCTATTGAACAAGGGTTTAATTGAAAAAAATGTAAAAACATAGTATACAAAACCCTAAATACAAAGAAATTTCCCAAAGACTCAGCCTCGTACTAAGGCAGAAGATTCCCAAAACGTCACTCATTCTTAATTGACCACTTTCGGTACAAACAGTAATTTACCTCTTCAAACGACAGGCAAAGCCATAGAAAAAGCAATTTATATTTGAGTGAGTCTTATTGAATTAGGTTATTTTAATTCTTTGAAGTAACAAAAACATGGAAGCTCTCGTACGGATACTAACAATAAATATCTCACCTTGCTGTATACAAATATATATTAACTAGCATTGGGAGGGTATTTGTCATTTTCTTTGTTTTTCCTTTGGTTATTTTGCTTTGTCCCAAGCTACGTACAAAGCCTACAAGTACAACAAATATTTGCTAAACTTTTTTTAATGCCATTGTCTTTAATTTTAGAAAACAAAGAGAAGATACCATCTACCGGCTTCAAATAAATTAAAATTTGTAATATGATGGTTCATTAATATTAATAAGACTAAGCTTTAATGATCGATTAATTATAGGCAAACAAATGAGTGCCAAGAAAGTTAGAGTGTCTAAAATGTGCAAACTGTAGATAAATGCAATTCGTGTATACATGTTTATTTATTTTATATAAATTACAAAAATTATCATCTTATAATTTATGTCACTTCAAGTATAATTTTTTTTAAAATTTTTTTTTTAATTTATATATAATTTTTATTAAAATTTTAAATTATATTATTCTCATTTTTTTATATTATATCATTACATCATATTTAATATTTAATATCGGCATATAAAACCTTAGACAGCAAAGCGTCATATTTAATGCCAAATTTGTAGAAAGGTGTATGCTTCACCTGTTGTCATACAAGGCAAAGGCAGTCACATCATTGAGAGAATATCAAACTGGCAAACCTAGCTAAACTGTGACCAATTAATATTGACATTGATTCTTTTTATTTCATGATCTTTTCCCATATGAAAGCGAAGTGCTGTGCATGAACAACCAATCCAAGAAATGCTAGAGCTGTTTCAGTTATGGAGCGAATTATAGTAATTTCAAGGTAGTGATCACAAATATATATCTACAACTTATAATGTTTAACTTAAAGTTTATTAACTAATGTTTTAAAGGAATCTCTTTCGTTTTAAGATTTTTTCATATATATATTAAATACAAGAAAAACTATAGTTTGCATAAAATCATAAAAACGGAAATTTAAAATAAATAAAAAAAATAGTAATATGTCCTATAATCACAGGAAATGCAAGGGTGGAAAGCATGATAGCTGGCAGACAGAGGAGTTATATGAAATCTTGTACCCCTTTTTTGTGCCAAAAATTTTGAGATGTTATTTTAAAAGCAGAAAATGTTTTTTTTTTTTTTTTAAAGAAACCTATATGTAAAGAAGGAGAGACAGTTATACTGGCCGTTGGATGTGCACGTGAAGAGGGAGATTAAATGAGATCTGAGGGTCAGAGGGGTTTGCGTCACCAAAATGAGAGCACCAGTGCACGCGAGTCTGGTGCCAGCTGGGCCGGCCCAACCATTTACCCAGAAAAAAACGAAAAAAGGGTTACGCAGTACTGCCCTCTGATTCCCACGTGTATTTTGTTTGATTGTACCGAAAATTAAAAGTTGTAGAAACGTGTGAGTGAGGGCCCACTCTTTGACGTGGTTCCCACTTCCAGTTTGTCCGTCTTTCTTTCTTTCCTTCTTTAGGATTTTGAGAAAAAAACTCAAAAAAATAAAAATCGATTTAAAATTATAATGTCTTATTTAATTTAGAATAGTTTTTTATTTTATTTTAATTAAATTTAGATATTAAATATATATTATGTTTGAATGAATTTCAGATAGAAAGATAAAATATTAAATAAAAATCAAATCGAATTGAATTATATTTTTTAAAATTTTTATAAAATAAAAATAATAATTTTATATTAAATCTATTTAAATATATAAAAATTTTAATTTTAAAAATTAATAATCAGAACCAAAATGATAAAATTTAATTTAAATCAAATAAAAATATAATTCAAATTCGAATTAAATTTTAAAATTTTATAATATCATATATTATTTTAAAAAATTAAATCAAATTAAATTTGATCCAATCCAAATCATTATCATGTTTACTTTCTTTCTTTTTTGCTAATCTTAACAGCTACCCCCTTTTTCAGATTCACCAACGTGCCCTTAGGTGAGATGTTCTTTAGTATTTTTTCACTTTTTAGCCTATAATAGTTCTTGGTTACCTTTATATATGTACATATATTTTCTAAAATGATTTTAAGCCGAAAGGAAGTACCGCTGTCCACGTTTGGCTGGCATGAGAAATGAAAAAGAAAAATTCTTTCGTTTGCAGGACTTCCTGCTTGATTTTGCTAATTCCTATAAAAACCAATAGGAAATTATATACTATATACTTATTGTCCAAGAAATTATATATGTGCATATATATATATATATATATATGCCGATCAAAACACTGCCTCGGTCAATAATATCGAGAAGGTTATGAAAATGAAATCATTAATTTTCAGGTTCAAATTCATTAATTTTTGCTTGCCCAATTCAAGCAATGCAACACTGGCAATCACTGACGCATAAGAGCCCAAGAAATATATATATATATATATATATATTATGTTTTATATAAAGGTGTAAATATATATCTTCTTTTGATAGATTTAAAGGATGAGAGAATTGAAAAGGAATCATGCGATAACCCGTCGTTTTCCTTTCTTTACCATCATTACTCGTGATCCGTTGACAAACGAAAGTATGTTAAAGACACGACATGTCCTGATCGATCCAAAGTATTAAAGCCAACATCTGTTTCATAATAATAATTCATGATTGATGTTGATAGACAATTACGCATTATAACATCTCATTTAAGTTAATTAAGCAGCTATTCATTTCTAAACTTGTTATATTTATTTATATAGACCAATTAATTAATCAGAAAGAAAGAGGATAACAAAAGCTAAAATCTAGATGCTTTTGCCTTTTTATTTTAATTTTTTGTCGGTTATTTTGTAAAAATAAATGGAACAATAAACAGAACATTAACCAGAAGAATAAAAAGTTTTGGCTACTTACAGAAGCTTTGATCAAGAACACAGATCTATTATAAGAGATCAATGGCCTTCATTATGTTTCCACCACTAATTAGCGACCAACAAAATTATTGGGATGGGAAAATACAAAAGTTCAATTCCAAAGCAGCCAAAGCAAACAACCAACTGTGATGACAAGGCCAAAATCCTTCACAATAATAATAATAAACTAACACATTCCTACACGCAATTTATATCTTATTTCTAAACCAATAGACACCTTTGTCCTGCTCCTCATCTCTTTCAACGTAAAGACACTCCTTTGCCTCCCTCCATATCGCCTTGTACACAGGAGTACCATCAAACCGGTAGTACTCTTTCAATATTGGCTTTATCGCCATGGTCGCCTCCATTGCATGATAGTGAGGCATGGTAGAAAACAAATGATGAGCCACATGTGTATCAGTGATGTTATGGAAAACCTTGTTCAAAAATCCGTAATCTCTGTCAACAGTCGCTAGAGCTCCCCTTAACCAGTCCCACTCCAAGGAATCATAATGTGGCAAAGATGGGTGAGTGTGCTGCAAGTATGTGATCATGACAAGGAACGAGTTAACCACCAACAATGGTAGTCCATAAACACAAATAACCCAAGCCAGCCCTTTTGCTAATGCAAGACGGTAGAGCACATAGGCAACAGCAAGAACACCAGCATCAGAGATATATATTTGCAGTCGTTCACTATCATTATAGATAGGGCCGTAAGGATTATAGTGGCAAGCATATCGATCATAAGGCCGGCCTGCAACGTTGAATGCTAGATAAAGTGGCCAACCAAGAGTGAGCTGAATTGTAATCGAAAAGAATCGACCAGGGGGATTGTTAAAGAATTTAGCCCACCATCTTAAAGCGGCTTTTTGCTTCGGAACAAACACTTCATCCCGTTCCAGGGAGCCAGTGTTAGAATGATGACGACGATGGCTATATTTCCAAGAGAAGTATGGGACAAGCAAGGAGGAGTGGAGGACAAGACCAACGGTGTCATCAAGCCATTGATAATCACTGAAGGCATGGTGGCCACACTCATGTGCTATAACCCAAACACCAGTTAAGACAAAGCCTTGGAGGGCCCCATAAGTCGTCCAGGCCACAAAAGATAAAGGCTGCGGAAGCAGATGAATGTAATTGATAACCACATAGTATAAGAGAGAGGCCAAGATGAGGTCATAAACAAGATAAGAGAATGAGCGCAGAACAGAGCGCTGGAAACAGTGAGGTGGGATGGCCTTTTTGATCTGACTGAGAGTGAATGGTGGTTTCGAGCAAGGAACTCTATTCAAGGAATCAAATTCTGACTTCCTTGGACTTGGGAGGACGGACATTCTGCCACCTGCACCCATTGTTCCACACCCTGAAGAAGATAAAGATGGCAAAAGGTTTAGACCAAACACAGTTTATCAAAAAACAGATTTCTGCAAGACTAATTCTTAAACCATCTATAGAATATCACATCAATTGATGATTATAATAAACCAAAGATCCTACTAAACTTATTACTTTCAACATTAATTTCCTTGATTAACCAACCAACTGCAGATATCTTCAGAACATAAACTCAAATCAGCTCAATTTGAAAGCCATGATCAATACATTCAGATGCACACAAATAACACTTCCAATTTAAAAAGAAAAAGCCTCCACGCTTTCTAGTGACAACTAATTATGTTTGGAGATCAATGTTTAGAGGTCAACAGCTTAGTCATTCTTCCTTGACAATAACTAGGTAAGTATTAAAGACTAAACATTCTTGAGATTGGTAAATCAAAGAATTAATACCAAACTCAAAGATTAACCAACTTGAAATGCAGACATTTAAAAATTAAAGAATAAAGGAAACATGTTGAATAAAAGTTTAGTAAATGCTAGTGAACAAAGAATAATATATAGAGGAAAACAAATGGCCACTATAAAAGATGCGTTGACCAAATATTATCAAGAGACTACTACTACTCCATTAAGGAGCGATCCAAGGTCATGTCAATCACAACCAAAAGTGAGCTAAAAGCAATCAATTAAAGTGCAGCTATACCATTATACCCGCTCCATTTTACACTTTATTGCTTTTATCTTGTCTTACTCATACATTGCGATCAGCATTTATATGCTTTCATAGTAAGTTTTCATAGAATTCGTGATATGTTTTTTTAATTAATAAATTATAAATATTATTCGTAATCATTTGTTAAATTTAATAAATGAATAAAAATAGAATATGTATATAAACTGTTCATCAAATGCTTTATTTGTTTACACTTTTGAATATAAATGAATCGAATTTGAATAAATTTTGCTATGTTTATGATCATTTGATAAATTTAATAAATAAACAAAAATCAAATATATTCATGAATTATTTATCAAAGGTTCTGTTCATTTAAATTCCTAAGTTCATAACTCAAAGTCTCAAACTCCATTCAAAAGTTGACATACTGAAAGCAGAAGCATATTATTTATTATTATACAAAGAAAATTCACACGCCGTTAACATTCCCCACACCTTCTCAAGTAACTATTCAAGAAATGTATATCTAAATACCTAAGGGTATAGCAGAGTTGTCAGCATAGACTTGCCCCTTTAACAAAAAGAAAAGCAGACATTAATTTTGCCTTTAAAAGTAGACAATAATTCTAACGTATTAGTAAAAAGAAATAAATTCTTGCAAAAACGGACGCAACTTGTTAGGCAAGTAGTAAAAAGAAATAAATTCTTGCGAAAACGGACGTAACTTGTTAGGCAAGTTCACTTTCGTGAAGGTTCATGTACTGTTATTTCCTGGCCCAAACTATATTATATTCGATTACTCAAATGATCTAATTAAACAGTATTTTTTAAAGTAAAAGATGAGTACAACATAAACGCTTCTAGCACACCATCAACCAATTATGCATTGACACACCATCAACCAATTATGCATTGACACGTAATTAAATTTATCATATCAATGATTCATTAATTAAATCACACACGAATCAGAAACGAAGACGTTTTGGAAACGGAGTAGATCCCACACCAAAGGCCTCAGGCAGGAAAGCTATAAAGTGACCACCTGAGTCACTGACTATGAGAACTAGACGGATAACGACAAAAATTTTTAAAGCAAGTGGTCATCACGTGATGGCAGACACTGTAGCCATTAATCAGACCAAACAAAGCCACTGTCTCAATTATTCGGTCACGCAGCTGTCACAGATCACTTTTTACGCCAAATACTACTTCTGGCCCAAATTGGCTTAATTTCTCTAATTAATAAATGTGATGGGTTTATTCATAGTCTTTATCAAAAAAAAAAAAAAACGCAAAAATGGTTTACAATTGAAATTTAAACAATAAATAGCCGAAAGAAAAAGAATCACGATTCTATTCACAAGTGACAATTTTAATTTTAATATTTTAAAACAAAGGGCATATACGAAGAATAAAATAAAATTCCAACAAGGCTGCCAAAAATCTACAACTAAGACCGGCGTCCGGCACTTGGACTCAACAATCAAGAAAACTTTTATCATAGTTCATTCCATCTGAGAAAATTTTAGCATTTGACTCTTTCTTTCATTAAAGAATAAACGATAAGAAACAGAGAAAACATCAAGAAAAATTTAGCCGACTTGATTCTTTGTTCATTCCTATAATACTCCTTCCGCTCCCAAAAAAACTGTCCTCTATTGATTTTTTTTACCAAAGTAATTCTATCTGACCTTCATTTTTTGAAATATAATATTACATTAACATCTAAAAAAAAAGTTTTAAAAAATTTGGAACTCAAAATTTATAAATCTTATTTTTAAAAAATTTTATTATTTTATTATTTTATTAAAAATAATTATCAAAATTGAGTTAGTTTGATCAAAAAGTTAATAAGAGACAATAATTTTGGGATAGAGGGAGGAATAGATTTTATAATTTCTAATCAAATTCAAGCCACACCAAAACGTTAAGTTTATGCTTGAAAAAAAAAGGAATAAGCATAAAAAAACCTATCGGAAAAGAAAGAAACAAGAAATAGCTTAAGGAGGGAAAAAGATCAGATCTATGGCTAAATCAGATGAAAAACAGATTAAGATCCAATAAATGAGGGATTCAGATCCGAAGTCAGAGGGATAAAAACCTCGTAAAAACCAACATTATAACAAAACCTTCAAATCTTAGCTCGAAAAAGCAAGAGATCTTAATCACTTTCCAGGTAAATCTAACCATCAAAACAATACAAAGATGCGAGCAAAAAAATAGAAAAAAGAATAAATAGATGATAACAAAAAATCAAACCAATAAAAGAAAGAAAGTACCTTGCAATGGAGATAGAGAATCTACCTTCCACTTTCTTGGCCTCTCTCTCTCTGAAACAGAAATCTTTCAGTCTTTCACAATTGGCCTCTTCCCTTGCCTTCGTTCGCGCGGCCCTAAGAAGAGCAGCGGCCTGTATTTAAGCTTTTCAGCTTTCCCTCCTTTAAAAAGTGACCAATTAAGTCATTTTCTCTACCACATATTTTTGGTCTTTCGGATTCTTTTATGTGGCATCATCTGAATGGATTTTTCTTTGATGGTTGCATCAGAGCGGCCGATTCTACTACATGGTGGAGATTGGATAGATCAGGCGTTTGTTTTGGAAAATATCTTTCGAAATCACGTGACTAAGTGACTCACGTGTGTGCAATTGTTTCATTTTATAGGAATACATTTTTGGCTTAATTTTTTTTTTTATATAATAATAATTATAATATTTTGACGGAAATACCCCTCACGTCTTTGTGAAACGTCCCGCTTAATTCGCACTTTGACTAGCTTTTTGATAAATTGCGTTTGACACGGTATATATCACTCTTAGTTAACACAATGCAAGTTTAATCTCCTACAATTTTAAATATTAATAAAAAATATTTAATTTTATGATAAATGAATGTTTTATATAATAAAAATTAGAGATAGATTTTTTATTTCCTTATTTAAAAATATGACATAGAGAGTTTGTTCGTTTAATAATTTAGATTTTTTTACTAATAATTGCTATTATTTGATTTAATTCAATCCAATAAATTTGTTTAGAGCAAAAACGCATGCAAACTTATTGTTCTAAATACAAAATTGTAATCACAAGCGTGAAGTAAAGGGAAAAGTAATATCTTTTCAATATGGATAAAGTATGGACTATGGATAAGGTTTTCGTAAGATTTTTTTTCTATTTTCAATTAAAAAATAATATAATAATTAAATCAATACATGGTAACATTTCAATCTTATTTATAAAGGGGAAAGATTATACACGCATAACAACACACGGTTTCCATTCATATGTATAATTTGACAATATAAAGATTAAATTGAAAAAAATAAAACTTGAATAAAATTCCATTTATGGAAAAATTATGTATATGTAACACAAACATACATACATATGTCATATTTTTTAATTTGAGATATTAGGAAAAAAATTTAAATTAATTTTTTAAATTAAATTTGTAAAGTTATTTAATATAAATGATTGAGTTAAAATATTAATAAAAAAATCTAAATTGATAGATTGATAAAATTTAATAAAAAATAATAATACGTAATAAAAATTATTAAAAATATTATTTATAATTTAAATTTAATCGATACTTATCAACAACAAAAATTTGATAACATTTTAATAAAAAATATTATCTAAAATATATATCAATTTTTTTTTTATTTTACATATTTGATCTACATAACAAAATATTTCAATTAATTAATTTTAATTTTGATTTAATTATTTATCATAAAAAAATTCACAAATTTTATTTAAAATTTTCATTTAAATTTCTTTCTAGGCTTAAAAAACTTTTTTTTAAAATTTTTATCATATCATTCCAATTTTTACCACTTTAAATATAGAAATTAATAAACGTGATCTAGGAAAAATTTTCCATAACTCTCTCTTTTCCTGAGACATGAGAAACGTTGGGATTTGGTAGCAATAGTTTGGTCATTGGAAATTTAAAAATAATCAGATAATAAGATTGTTGCTACACATCATTATTAATTGATTTCAGACTTTGTTCGTAGTCTTCCTTTTGGACTCTTTCTTTTTTTTTTTAGTTAGTATAAACATATATTGATTTAATCATTAAGATTTATTTGTTTTGATTAAAAAATTTTATATTCGAATTTTATTAAAGATCATTTATTAAAATCATATCGAATATATAATTTATAATTATTTATTTTAAATTATCAATTATGATATATTTTATTTTAATTTAAAAATTAAAAATTTATCTATTTTTAAATTTTTTTTTTACCAAAAAAAAATAGTAAAGCACATGCTTAATACAGATGGCTTATTTGACTAGCCAAAACTACACGTTCAAAGCCTGTGGGCCGCTTTTTAATGTTAAAATTTGACCAATTTGTTGGAAAAAGGGTGGTTGAGGAATTAAGCGAGTTTATGAAAGTTAATTGATTTTTTTTTTTCCAATGCTATTGTTGAAGTACACAATTAATTGATTGCTTCACGCTTGAACTAAAAATCTTAAACTTTATTGGTGAAAAGAAAGTTGTTTTTTTGAAAAAAATAATAACGTACAAAAAGGTGCAAGTAATTTTTTAAGAGGTCAATAGCATACATTCTTAATTTTAAATTTTTAAAATAATTTTATTTATTTTTACCATACATTCTTAATTCTTTTAATTACTTTTTACATGTCCATTTACAGAAACACATCAATTTACATTTTTATCTTAATTAAATTAACTGTTTATATATATATATATATATGTATCTGTAAGCGCGTTCAACGTGTACAATGTAATCATAACTTTAGGCGCCCAACTGTACGGTTGATATATTGTGCTACAACCATAAGGCAATAATGGTTTTAGGTTTTACTTACCAATCATTATTATATCATAAATAAATTGTGGTTTCAAAAATAAGATTAATGCACCAAATAAAGTTAGGTTAATATATACTTTAATTAATTCGTAACTTCTTCATGTCCTTGATCGAGGATGTTGGCTGTTTTATCAAATCGGAGCTCATTTGGAGGTCACTGTGCTTCCGTTTTTGTATGATTACTCCATTTTTTTGGTTACAAATTACTAAGGCGTATGGATAATACCAGTAACCAAATTTAATTTAAGTTTAGATAAATAAGATGAAATTTTCGAATTCGGATAATTTTGATGTTTATAAATACAACTATCCAAAAGTTGTAACAATTATTAAACTAATAAATATATAGGCATGAACCTTACGATAGGAAACTAGTCCTTGGACCACTAGTTTGGGAAAGAAAGAAATGACGTATATTTAAAGCAAGATCGAAAAGATATAAAATACATTCATTATGCCCAATAAGCAAATTTATTAGGCCCCACAAGAGGAAAATAGTTCAAATTACGACTATCTATTCGATACGCACGTGATATTTGAATTACATGAGAAGAACTCCGTGAAGAAAAGACTCTTTAATTACTTGATGTGATGGTTCCACAACATTACATATGGCATCATATTATCGCTTGATGTGCATAACAATTGTTTTTCCACCTAGCCTTCGTTTGTTTACTTTCTGGATTTGAACTCCTCTAAAGAAAATATGAAAAAGAAGACAATATAGATGAAAATTTTTGGCAAGTTTTTAACTCAAAAGTTTTCCAAATACATATAAATCATGTGTGTCTCATGGTAATACGGTGTGATCACCCTCAATCAATCAGCCTTGTTTGCTTTAATGCCAACTCCTTTTTAGATTCTAGGGCCATTGAATCTCATCAACAAATCAAAGATCAATTACCTTATTTTGAATGAAATTTAAAGGAGTTCGCTTGGAAAAAAGCTTATGCAACTTATTTTAAAGGATTGGGAAAATAATTTTTTTTATGAATTACTCCCACAACATACTTATTTGTAAATCAATTATACTATATCATCAACCTGCCCTGAATCTTTGTCAAAAGTTCCACTTTCATATGTAAAATTCATCACTGAATTCTCAATAGTTGAGTATGAAATAAATCAACTATGAGCACAAGGATAAGAAAAGCAAACGGTTTGAGAGCAAAGAAAAATTAACCAATTATCAACTAAACAAAAAAGAATGAAACATACACCCCACAAAATTAATTTGATTATAGTAAAAGGGAATTGGATAAGAAACATATTATTGATTTGATAAGGGAATTGGAACGCATTCTAAAAAATCTATTCCGGCACCCCTTTGACTGTACTTTATTACTGCAAGTTCCAACTTCCTTTAACATAGCTTCCAAATTGCTTTCCTTCAGTTAACACCCAAAAACATCACTAACAGATTATTTTACACAAAATCACTACAGATCTCGTTCTTTTTATTTCAATTTTTTCGCATTTGTTTATGATCATTGTCTAAAAGTAAGTTTAAAGCCGTAAATCCTAACAAAGGCGAAACGAATGGTTTATGCACGTAGAAAGTGTGATATGCACGTAGAAAGTGTGATATGCAGGTAGAAAGTGTGATCCTTGATCTCAGCATGTTGCTCAACCTTGTGCCAGAAGCCCAGTACGGCATCCATCCTCCACCAATGGGTCGTCATACTTAAAACTATACACTTAACATATATATATATATATATATTAATTTACATTTACATGACTAAATGTCATATCATGCTGCTGTTGTTATAGGTGTTCTGTATGATCATATATAGTGGAATAATCAAAGGGGCCTTCTTTTCAAGCCAATTGATGTGGATTACTCCAATTACGATGAAATCATAAAAATCAAAGAGGGGACTTTCTTTCTTTTCTTCTTTTGTTTGGGCTTGTTATCATATTATTACAATAAAAACTCTCTAGCTGATATGTTAGTCAAATCAAGAGTCTCTCGGACTTGCAATTTCGTTGCTTGGTTGTAGTGATTTTGAGTCCTACTGTCACATTTTTTACCGATGACTATTGTCTGTCTCCAAATTTCTATTTCCTTTTAAAAAAATGACTAGATTTCACATTAAACTATTTAAGCAAGGCATTCAACAAGTATATGTATATATTAATTTTTAATTTTTAATATTAAAAAATATATTAAATATCTAACTTAAAATTAATTAATAATAAAAAATTAATTTAAATATATTACCAAAATCATTCAAGACTTAACATACTTAGATAACACTAACCATAGCGAAATTCAAAAAATTATTTAGACTGACACTCACCATTAGAAAAACCATTATTCTAAACCAAAGCCCGAAACTTGAGCCTCCATTGCAAGCTGACGTAATCTTTTGTAAAAATAATATTATATAGACACAATTGAATGACAAAGTTACTCCAAAAACTCGAAATCTCGAAGCCAGAATGTACGTCGATGCGAAGAACACGCCACACAGCCATAATATTACGGGTTAAGCTTTCTCTTATCAAGTGATAAATCGTGCGGTACTTGAATAAATGTTTTCACTTAAGTCAATCAATGATAACTCGATATCTGAATAAATAATCATAAGTCACGATTAATCTCAAACATATATAAAAGATATATTCATATCGAGA